AATTTACTTTTGAAAACAGTAAATAAAATTTTATCAGAACTTTCAATTGATAGTTACACGAATATTTAGTTAATAAATGTGCGAAATATTTTTTTTTGGGTCTGGTTATAGAGAATATTTTAAAAAGTCATTACATTGTTTTCTAAAAATTTATTTGCCAAAATTAGTTCTCACTAACATTACTTAATTAATAAATATTATTTACCAGAGATGCCTGCTTTCATAGCCCCGAAAAATATAGAGTTTCGATCGAAATAAATTATTTTATTTTTGTGTTTCGAAAAAATTATCACATTTATGAAATAACTATTTTTAAAAATAGTTTTAACTGTTTTTAATATAATTAAAATATAAGAAAAAATATTCTTTTAAAGAAACATTTTGCAAAGAAGAGAAAAAATGAAAATAAATAATTACTGTTAAAAATAATTGAAAAATTTCTATTGAAAGGAAGTTCATTCGAAATTCTATATAGTGAAAAGTTTAAATTATTAGAAATCACTTTAGTTTTTAAATGAAACATGCGAAAATTGCGTTTTACATTTATAAGTAAATAAAATTTCGTTTACAGTTCCACAAATTTTCATATAATTATATATTTATTATGGACAATAATTCTTCATTTCACTTTTATAAAAAAAAAATCTCGCAATTCTTTTTTGTTTCTTTGTTGGTGATGCTATGGCTCTTTAATACTATTTTCATATTTTTTTATTTGTCAACCACTAAAAATTCGTTTGAAAATTAAATATTTTTCGTTAAAAAAAATTTATTTTCACTTCGTTATGAAAGAAAGCTTTTGTATTTTTAAATTTATAAATAAAAATTTTGATAAATAATTATAGCTATATGTTCATATAATTTTCGATAAATTTTTACTGGGTGACAAAATGCGTGGAAGTGTATAAGTTTAGATTTTTAATAATTTTTCACATTTTTATTATGCAAAACTATTCAATTATTGCTACGTCCTGACCTGTCAACAAATCAGCTTGACATTGACAAAAGAACGGGTCTTAATGTTTTTGGTGCTGTTTCCGGGGCCTGTATACTGTCAACTGGTGAACGGGCCATATTTTATATTTCAATGAAGCAAATTTTATATTTTTATCTCAAAAAAAAAAGAAAAGAAAAGAAAATCGTACCACTAAATTTTTTTAATAATTTCTGCTTCGTACTACCAAATTATCAATTTTTTTTATTGAACTTGACAATAAGTTTTTTTTAAATTTATTTTTCATATTTTTAATTCTTTTTTCTACAATAATTTATATAATTTATATATAGTTAGGCGCGAAAAGCGTTATAATTTTAATATTAAGCTTAAGCAAATTAAAAAATTGCAAAAAAACTTTTGTTTTCAAATATCAACTTCAATTTTCAAATAATTTTAGATAGAAAATTAAACAAAATTCATTTATTAATAGTTATTATTATCTATTCTGTTAGAAATTTTTTATTCAATTCATTGAAACAATTCAGTTATTTAAAAAAAAAATTAATAAATATCTTCACAAGAATTCAATTATTTTCATAATTAATAAAATACTTCATAAGAATTCAATTTTTTTAATACTATTTTCATATCAATTTGTCAAAAAAATTCCTTTTCTTTTTAAATTGTAAAACAATTCTTCCAAAGAATTCACTTATTTCCAAAATTTTGATAAAATTCTTTACAAGTAGGTATTCAATATTCTTTTCAAAATTTTAAATATTTTCAAAAATGTTTTGAAAGAATTCTTCGAAACAATTCAATTCTTTTCATAAATAATCAAATTCTTAATCAAAAATTGTATTATTAATTTTCAATGCAAATTTTAAGAAAACTTCTGAAAAAAATTGAATTATTGTTAAAAATTTGTAAGCTCTTCAAATAAATCTAATTATTTTAATAAAACTTACCGAAATAATTTTAATTATTTTCAAAGCTATTTTAATAAATTTCTTCTCAAGAATTCAATTTTTATTCATAAATTTGGAAAGTTGAACGAAAATTTAATTATTTTGATACAAAAATTCATTTTTTTTAATGAAAATTGTTACCAAAACTCTTTACGATTTTTTCAAAAAAAGTTATTAAGGTGAATTATCAAAAATATCCATTAACTAAAATTATTTTTAAAAATTAATTTTTAAACAATTATAATCAATAGAATCATAAAAATTAATTTTTTTGGAATATTTTTTCACAATTTTTCAATAATTATAATAATTTTAGTTAAATATACCCAATTGAAAAATTTCCAAATAATTGAAATTTAGAAAAATTTTCTGAAAATAATTGAATTTTTTTTAATGAATATATGGAAATTGTTAAAAAAGAATCAAGTTTTTGAATAATTTTAATTATAATTATATGAAAATACATTATTTTTTCAAAATTTAAACAATAAGGCTAAAAAATTAGAATTTTTTTAATATTTTAAATTTACTTTTTTTTTAAATATTTCATTTTTAAAAAATTATAATAAAAAACCTTTAAAATCTTTAAGTCATTAACGTGAATTATCAAAAATATTTAATAAAAATATTGAAAAGAATTGATTTTTAACAAATTTTAATAAAAAAAATCCCTTAAAAATGAGTTTATGAAACAAATTTTTTAAAAAACTTTTGAAATATAATAAATAAATTAATTATCCTTAAATAAATAAATTACAGATTTTTCAATATGATATAATTAAAACTTTTCCAAATAATTGAAATTTAGTAAATTGTTTGAAAAATAATTGTATTTTGAAAAAAACTTTTGAAAAATTTAAAAATAATCATTTTTTTGAAAAATTTTAATATAATTCTATAAAAAATTAGATTTTTTAAAGTTTTAATGAAATTAGTTTCTATTGCAAATAATTTAATTTTCAAAAACTTATATCTAATTAAAAAGATTGAAAGTAATTGAATTCCAAAAAATTATATAATAAAGAAAATTACTTTAAAAAGTATATTTTTAAATACTTTCTAAATGGCAACAGACTTTTCAATTATAATTAAAAAATAGACTAATTATTATTGAGATTCAGTAAAAATTTCTGAAAATAATTGAATTTTTCAAAAGAAGTTTTGTCTATAATATAAATAAATAAAGTTTTTGAAGAATTTTCATTAAAAATATTATAATATTTGATTTTTCCAATTTAATGACAATATTCTAAAAAAATTTGCTTTTCAAAAAAAATTCCATTGTGATTACTTTCTTTGTAAATATTAGAGTTTTTGAAAATATGAATCGAATTTATTTTTTTTTTAATTGAAAAATTAAATTTTAATAAAAAAAAATTTTTTTTCAATTGAAATTAATTGAATTTTAAAAATAGAAATTAAAAAAAAAATTCTAAAAATTACGTTTTTAAAAAATATTTTAATATACTTTTTTAAAGATATTTTTCATTAATTTTCCTTTGATCAAATTTTATTAACCCTTTGAGGACCAGTGTTGCTTTCAGGCAACATGAACATTTTGTTATTAACTCGTGCATAAATTTTTTAATTTTTAAAACTGAATATTGAAACAATAATTTTCACATAGTCTGGAAAATTTCGTATCACAAGCACTGGTCTTTAAGTAAAAAACTTCAATAACTTTCCCTGAAAAGTTTGCTTAAAAATGAAAAATCGCGATTTTTTAAGAAAAAATTTGATTCTCAAAGGGTTAAAATTGTTGGGAATTCAATTATTTTCACAAAATTTTCCAAAATTAAGATTTGTTTTAAATTTAATTATTTATTGCAGTAAAATTCTTCGAAGCTATTAAATTATTTTTGAAAATTTGAATAAAATTCTATATATTACAAGTTGATTAAAAATAATAAATACAACATTTTTTTTTTCAAAATTCAGAAATAGTGGTACGATAAAAATATTGTGAAAGTAATTTTCGAATAAATTTCAATGAGCTTCAATGAAAATGGAGAGAGAAAAATTTCTGGTTCCCTGTGATGGGGGATTTTTTCAGGCTTTAATTGGATTCTAATTGAAATTTTTGAATGTCAGGGAAGTGAGAAAGTTGAAAGTTGAGCGAGAGTTAGTTTGAATGTTTTTGGTAATTTGGCGTCGGGGCAAAAAAGAGGAAAAAAAGAGAAAAAGAAGCAAAAGGTGGTGCAACGTGTACGTACAAATTTACTAAGTACTTTGTTACAATGGTGCAGTGTCAATATTGCGATTTGGTAGCGGGACTTCTACGTACAAATACTAACTTCTGTGCTTCCAGGTAGGCCAAGTCAATCATTATTCCAAAACTGACAAGGATTCACCAGCCTTCATTTTTTTATTTATTTATTTTTTTTCTAGAAATATTTATTCCTTTATTGCTTTTATTTTCAGAATCCACTCTATTTTCCTCGCTTTTTTTCGAATTTTAACATTTAAAAATTGAAGCATAATTTTTCAAAAAACTGCAATTTTTTTTTTGAAAATAAAATTGAAAAAATTTGAAAAAAATCTAAATATTTTTTTTTTTTTTGAAAAAGGTTTGCGTTTCCTTGTCAGGAGTACAATATATCATGTGGTCTAAAACTCTCTTATTAATTTCAAACTTTAAACAAGGGTTTATTTTTTCATATTTATGTTATTCTGTTAAAAGTGTGAAAAACGGGGATTTTCTGGTTTTCCTCGAGTCACGGGAAATGTAACGGAAATATTTTTATTTTGAAATAAGTAGTTTTTGAATTTATTACTTTTTTTTTGTACATATATATCATTTGGGTTCTATGTTAATTTGGCTATTGGTGTTTTTCACGTATGCAAAATTAACTTTCTACTGGTGTCACAATTATTCCGTTTCGAAACACTTTATTAACTCTTTATTGTGTCCTCCCCATCAATATTCATCAAAAGTCAAATATTCATCCTGTAAAGAAAAAAAAACAAAAAAAAATAATAATTGAATTTTATTTTCCGACAATATTTGGAGAACTACTGACAAAAATGAATTGAAATTTGTAATAATGATGAATATATAATTATACAGTTGTTGCATTAATATTTTATTTCACCAGGAAATCCGATAATACAGCAACAGCAAATCACTACAGGAGCGATGTATCCGCCTCCAGCTGGGATTGCAACTCCATTTCCACCACCGACATATTCGCAAATTTTCTACTGGCCCCATCCTTCACCGCCAGTCAGTCCAACAAATTACTATAATCACGCTAGCGTTGGTAACCTCTCGGCGATACCGCAACAGGCGACTCTTGTAAGTTTTCATTTCGTTAAATTCAACAACATTCTCTTCTCTTCTCTCCTCTTCTTTTTCCATTTATTTATTTCTTTATTTTTTTTTGCTTAATTTAAAGAAAAGTGGTTTTTAATTTTTATTCTGAAAAATGTAATTATTAGTACTATTTCAGAGTTGCAAGAAAAATTTAATTTTGTTTTTCCCTGATTTTTCTCTGATTTACAGACAAAATTTTTACTTTTTCCCTAAAGCTAAAGAAAATTTTGATTCACTCTAAAAATTATTAGATACTCAAAAAAAGGTTCTATTAAATTTATTTACGAATTTTTTTAATTGGAAAATTATTCGAAAACATCAATAACTTCTTCTTTAAATCATTATTATTTAATCATTATTATTTTTTCCATAGGAATTATTTTTCCATAGGATTTTCAAAAATTTCAAATTTAAACCTTTTTGAAATAAAACAACTTCTAAGAATATTTATTTTTATCATAAAATATGACCGAATAATAAAATCATGACTTTATATTATAAAAACATTGTTACTTCAACTTTTTCAAAATTATTTTCATCATTTCAATTCAATTATTATTTTCTACAATTTTTAACTAAAATTCTTCATTAAATCAATTATTTTTAGGAATTTTTGAAAAAGTTTTTCGAGAATTTTCAAATCCATTTGTTTGCAATTGAATTTTATGAAATTACTATTATTCGGAAATTCTTCAATTAAATATATTGTTAGAAAATAAAAACCTCAAAAAATCTATATTAATAATTGTTGTTTGTGTTGAAAATAATTTAATTCTTGGAAAGATTTTTATTAAAATTCTGTAAAATAATTGAACTGTTTTTAAAGAATTTATTTCAATATTCTTGAAAATAATGAAGTTTTTTTTTTTTGATAATTTTAAATGAAAATTTTAAAAGCAATTGAACTTTATGAAGAATTCAATTATTTTCAGTAATTGTAATAAAATTCTTTGCCAAAAAGTAAATTTATAAATAATAAAAATCTTCGTAAAAAATTTAATTATTTTTATATAAATAATAAAATTCTCATGAGGATTTCACTTATTTTCAAAACAATTTTTAATTGATTTCTTCGAAAATTTCAATTATTTTTAAAAATCTTGTAAAAACTCTTCGAAAAAATTCAATTATTTTAAAAAATTATTGAAATTTTCACAGGAGTTCAATTATTTAAAAAACTTTTAATAAAAATTCAATTCAAGAATTAAATTATTTTCACAAATAATGAAATTTTCGTTGGAATAAAATTATTTTAAATACAATTTTAATTGAATTGCAGGGAAAATTAAATTATTTTTAAATTCTTCGAAAGAGTTCAATAAATAAAAGAACATCAATAAATAGTAAATTTTTTACATGAATTCAATTATTTTAGAAACAATTTCAATAAAATTCTTCTCAAAAATTCACTTATTTTTTTAAATTTTGCAAAAATTCAATTATTTGTAGAAATAATAAATTTTTTCGCAGGGATTCAATTATTTAAAAAAGTTTTAAGAAAATTCTATTCAAGAATTCAATTATTTTCAGAAATAATTAAATTGTCGATGTACTTTTTAAAATAATTTTAAATTGAAAATGTTGAAAATAATTGAAATTTACAAAGAATTTTTATTAAAAACTTTTGAGAACAATTGAATTGTTTAGAAAAATTTTATTACAATTTTCAAAAACAATTCTACCTTTTAGAGAGATTTTATGAAAACTGTCTTGAATATAATTGAATTTTTTCCTAGAAATTTTATTAAAATTGTATTGAAAATGATTGAATTTTTCAGAAAAATTTTATTATTTACAAAAATAATTGAATTCTTGACAGGAATTTTACAATTCATCAAAATAATTGAATTGTTTCGAAGAACTGTATCTGCATTTGTGAAAGTAATTGAATTTTTTGAAGGAATTTTAATAATTATTTTGAAAATAATTATTTTTTTAAAAGAAATTGAGGCTCCGGATCTTAAAAGGGCACTTTCAGCATTGACTTTAAATGGTAAAAGTGCCCTTTTAAGATCCGGAGCCTCAATTTGAAATTCAGCAACGCGTTTTATTATTTATGAAAATAATTGAATTCTTAGAAAGAATTTTTTTCATAAATTTTTAAATAATTAAATTTCAGAGAAAATTTGTATTGTTTGTGAAAATAATAAAATTTTTGTGACAACAATGAATTAAATAAACGACATTTTCGAATTTTTTTCAGTTCAATAATAAAAACAATATTTAATTGTTTTAAAAAATTGTTGATAAAGCTCTTTATAAAAATTAAATTTAAAGAAATATTCAATTATTCAATAACTTATTTATTTTTGTATTTAAATAATTGAATTTTCGTAGAATTTTCTGAAAAAAATTTGATTTAAAATTGAATTTCATTTAAAATTTTAGTTGATAATTGAATATTACAAGCGTTATAGGGTGAATTTTTAAAATTGATTAAATTTCAAAAGATTTTTTGAATTGAAATCTTTGAAAAGTTTTATTGTTGTTGAAGTGAAACAATATTTAAATTTTTACTTCGAAATAAAATGTTTAAAGTTTTGAATAATTTTATTTAAAAATTTCAACAACAAAAATTGATTGAATTTTGGAAGAATTAGAGTTTTAATTTTCAGATATTGTTAAATTTTAAATCATATTAAAGTAGGTATTAAATCATTTAAAATATTGTAACTCCTGGTGGAAAAATAAATGAGTATTTAAATATTTATTCAACAAAAATTATTCAAAGTTTTGAATGAAATTTAATTTGAAAATTATGAAAAAAATTCGTTTTTTGTAATTATTTGTATTTTTTCTACTTTTAAAAATTATTTTTAAATAGATAAGTTTCATCGTATCTTTGAAGAATTTTAAATTAAAAATTTAGAAAATTATTGAATTTTGTAAAAATTAAGAATTGAAGTTATTTGCCGAATAAGAAATAACGTAAATATTTTTTATGAAAATTAGAAAGAAGTTTGGAAAATAGAATGCAGAACTAAATTTTCGGCCTTAAAGCATGATCCACAAGTTTTGAACTTTCAAATGAACGAATTATCTTTTTTTTATAAATGTTTTCGCAAATTGATGATTGTAATAAAAATAAGAAACTTAAATTTTACATTTTATCTTTTTTGACAGCAAGGTAAAATCTTAAAGGTAACTTAATTAACTAAATTAATTAATTAATTAACTTAATTATCTAGCGCAAAGTCTGCTTTTATAAAAAAAAGTTTAAAATACAGAAGTCAAGTCGAATTTTAATTTGTTTATTGTATACAGATATGAAAAACTTGTCTTTTCTCAGTAGATGATAATTTCTGTTTATTTTACAGTTGACGCCTGCCGAATGCCTTCAATCTCCATCGGAGACGCAATTGGAGTTGATTCCACCGCTAGGAATTGGCAAACATCAGATTCCGGTGTCCGGTAGTACACTGTACCTTCTAAATTTACATTTCACCAAGCACCATGCGACTAGTACAACATTGAATTGTACATAGTTTCTCACATATATGTATTTATATGTGTGTATGTTTATGCGGCTTGAAACCGGTTCGATGCCGTACAAGTCAATGCCTTGCCTCACCTGAAAGTCACTTTGTGTGATCTTGTTTCCCTTCTTATTTTTCTTCCCATGGACGTCGCCAAAGGGAGTCCCTTTGGAGTTTAACCGAACACGAAAGTCAGCAGGTGCTGGTCGCCAAACGACTAGAAATTCTTTAAAAAAAGGTCAACAAAAAATTGTCCTTTTTTTTAATAATGAAAAATAATACAGTCACTGTATTTATCCGACCAGAAATTAGGAAATCTCAAATGCGAAAGCAAACTGAAACTTAAAATTAAAACTGAAAATAAAAACTGAAAATTAAAATTAAATTGAAAATAAAAACTGAAAATTAAATTTTAATTGATAATTAAAACTAAAAATTAAATTGAAAATGAAAACTAGAAATTGAAAGTTGGAAATAAAAACTAAAAATTGAAAATAAAAACTGAAAATTGAAAATAAGAACAAAAAATAAAAATCGAAAATATAAAATTAAAATTAAAATTAGTTTTTAAGGCAATTAAATTGCGAAAAGATGAAATAATAGTTTCATCTCAATTTCCTAAAAAGGAGTATTTCCAAAAAAAAAATTTCAAAAATGAAGAATTATGAAAATTTAATTAGTAAAAATTATTGAAAATTTCTTGAAATTGTTGTCGCATTTGAGATTTTCTTTTTCTCTATTGAAACGAAAACTCCTGCTATCTTGTAGTTGAAAAGAAGCTCTTGTAGTCTTCGACGTGCTCACGAACGACACGTTCCTTCTAGTCTAGAGACAGAGCCAGCTTATCGTATATATACGCATATATTTGCAATATTTTATTTTCAATGATAGAGCTGCTCTTTTTGACCGCATAATTTCGACCTGCAAATAACAGATTATTTTCCCAGTACATTCCATCGCAGATTTAAAAAAAAAATCCAAGATTTCTCATTTTCTTGAATTTCATTTTATCAAAGTTTTTTTTCCAGAAAAGAAAAATTTTATTAATTTTAATTTGATTTATTTTTTATTTTATACTTTCTTAAAACACGACAGAAATTTTGTCAATACTTTCAAAATTTCCATTGGTTTTTTATCTAATTCACAATCAAAAAAATTGAGAATTGTTTTATTGTAAATTAAAATATTTTTGAATTGAAATGTTTTTTAATTGAATTATTTTTTAATTAAAATGTTAATTTTTTAATTTAAATACTTTTAATTTCAGATGTTTTTTAATTGGAATATTTTTTAATTCGAGTATTTTTTTAACCCAATTATTTTTTAATTGATATATTTTTCAATTACAATATTTTAGTATTTTTTATATTCTTGCACGGAGAGAAAAATCAATCGTTTATAGCATGAATGCTTTGTATTTTAAAAGTATGAAATGTTAGTATACTATGACTGCAAGAAAGTATACTGCGATTGCAAGAATCCTATGCTTTTTCGGTATTAGACCCTTGCAACTGGCTATTAGGCCACGCCCAGAGCCTGGGCCGACCAATCACATTGCAGAAAACTTTTACCGAAATCGCATAGGTTTCTTGCAATCGTAGTATGAAGAACTTCATGCTAAAAAGCCCAGATATTTCTCTCCGTGTGAGTTGAAATGTTTTTTAATTCAAGTATTTTTTAATCCGAATTTTTTGTAATTCAAGTATTTTTTATTCCAAATATTTTTTAATTGATTTATTTTTCAAGGAAAATATTTTTAAATTCAAATATTTTTAAATTAAAATGTTTTTAAATTTAAATATTTTTGAGTTAAAATGTTTTTTAATTGGAACAGTTTTGTAACTCAAGTATTTTTCAATCCAAATATTTTTTAATTCAAGTATTTTTAATCCAAATATTTTTTAATTTATATTTTTCAATTAGAATTTTTTTTGAGTTAAAATGTTTTTAAATTCAAATATTTTTTAATTAAAATGTTTTAGAACTAAAATATTTTTGTATGAAAATATCATTTAATTAAAATATTTTTTAATTTGAATATTTTTTAATTCAAGTATTTTTAATCCAAATATTTTTTAATTGATATGTTTTTCAATTCGAATTTTTTTTTTTTTTGAGTTAAAATGTTTTTAAATTCAAATATTTTTTTAATTAAAATGTTTTAGAACTAAAATATTTGTTAATTAAAATATCTTTTAATTAAATTATTTTTTAATTCAATTATTTTTGAATTTACATATTCTTTAATATTTTGTTTTTGTTTTTATCAAATTAATAAATTGACAGGAAAGAATTTTTTTCTCAAATTGAACCGAAAAAATTTCGTCACCAAAAATAACAAATCCTAAATTTAACAGGAAAGAATTTTGAAAATTGAAAAACAAAATGAAAAAAAATTTGAAATTTAGAAAATGAAACAAATATTGAGTGTGAAATAAACTAATTTCATCTTTTTCTTGTAGAAAAAAAAGACAAACAAACTGTTAGCAGGAAATTTTCCTTTCGCACAGGAATATAATTATATAATGAATATAATGAATATAATGAAAAAAAAATAGTCCAAAGTCGATAATAAAAGACACCGAATTAAAAAAAATAATCTATTATAATTATTATTATTATTATTTTAAATCATGTATGTATATCTTATTGTTATGAATATCAACGCGCGTTCATAATGTGTATAGTGAAGCAATTTTTATTTCTTCTTTACTTCTCAAAAAAACTAATATAGAAATCGCTTTGAAAAAAAAGTAAAATAAAATTCCGTTTCATAAAGACGGAAGCATAATATTAACTTGACGCAAATTACAACAGCAAATATCACAACAGTCTTCCGTTCAGTGTTTTTCAATTTCAAATTGAAATTTTTCTCCGTTTTGCTTTTATATATACATAATATGACAAAATGTAGTAAAGACTGTGTACTTTTTTAGGGAAGTACATTCGCGATAATTAGATTTCTTTCTCTTGAAATTTTTGATATTATTTCCGTGAATTAATGTAATTATTTTCTTTTCTTTTTGATAATTTTAGCAAAACATTACTTAGTAATTTATTTATTTATTTCAATATACAATAAATGTTCAATATAAATTTACAAGTATTTTTTGGATTTTTTCCTAATTTATTAAAATTTATAAAAAATTTATTATTTTTATAAATTTTTTTCTACAAAATTATATAAAATTCATTATTTATACAAATTATATAAATTTTTGTATTTGAAATTTTAATAATTTAATAAGAAATTAATATTTAATGCTAAATTTTAATAATTTAATTTTTTAGGTACAAATTAGATTTTTCTTTTATGTAAAATTTAAATCTATTTGTATTAATTCTTTTTAGAAAAAATTCATTATTTATAGAAATTATAGAAATTTTTAATAGTTTATTAATAAATTAATATTTAGCTTATGTAAATTTTTAATAATTTAATTTTCTACAAATTTATTATATACAATTTATACAAAATTTATTATCTATAAAGTTTTTTTTACAAAAAATTCATTGTTGGTATGAATAATATAAATTCTCTTGAAGAAAATTTATATGAAATTTTTTTTTCTAAATATATAAATATATTTTATAAATTGAAAATAAGTTATAAGAAAAAAATTAAATTTAAAATAAAATTTTCAGTTTAGAAAAGAATCAAAAATTCCATTTGTTTGTTGAAATGAATTTCAAAAACGAGAGAAAAGAAGTCAAACGTTTTATAAACGAATTATATTTATTAAAAATATTAAAAATCAAATTATGCGTTTTGTGAAATAATTCTAAATTTCAGAAAAAAGAATTTTAATTTTTAGACTACGATGTTTTCTTTTATACGAAAATTTTATTTTTTAGTGAATTTTTTGAAAAAATTGATCGCTATTTGATCTAAACACACCTTTATTTGGTAGAAGTCAACAGGTGCAATTTTCTTTTTTTTTTAATAATTTTTTTATATTAATATTCACATAGTGATAGGAATAATAATATGAATAAAAATGTGCAATACATGTCAGGCCGGATAATGAAACTGAAACGTGAAAAATAAGAAAAAAATAATTGTCATTTTTTTCTTCGTTTATTGCAATATAGAAAGATTGTGCATTATTGAATATATTTTTCACGTTTGAATGAAATTGTTTTATTTCTACATCCGGCAAGAATAATCTATGAAGAAATATTTAAATTATATATTAATATATTGTGTAGCGAATATATTTAGCTAGTGAAATTAAATTTGCAGTCTTTTGATCTTTGCTTTTATTTTCTTAATTTATTTGATTTTATCAAGAAACAAAGTAAAGGATCCATTACTGCCTCGTGTAGTTTTAATATATCTACTATATTATATTTTATATATTTCTTTAATTTCTTAGATTTAATTATCAAACTATATTTGATTTTATACAAAAAAAAACTATTTTATAAGATCTCTGTAATTTTGCAAATAAAAAAAAGTGATTTATTTTTAAACTACATATTTCAATCACAAAAAAATGATTTATTTGTCAAATTTAGAATTTAGTTTGAAAATTCGTAAAAATAAATCTGTCACTTCGGTTTATAAATATGAACTAAAAAATTAATTCGCAATAAAAGAAAATAATTTTTTATTTGAAGATTATTGAAGAAAAAAATTACAGATCTAGTTAATAAAATAGTTGCTATGAAATTAGTATAAATTAAAAAATAGTTATTTCCGTTTAGGGAAAAAAAATTGTCAAAAGCGCTCAACGAATGAATCGAAAGAAAAAATAATATTATAATATTTACTGAAAGTAGTTTTAATTATTGATCCGAGCGTGATAATTCAAAGTCGACGATTTTTGTGCAATTGTACTTTATTCCATACTTTAAAAAACATTCCGATATTAAAAAAAATAATAGATGTATGTTAAAATTCAAATTGTACTTCGTTACGTAAATATTTTTCCGTTCTTGATTTTATTAAGGAACGGGAAAATTTTTCCTTTTAATATTAAAATATGATTTAATATTAGTTATTAAAAAAAATCGAATGTAAATAAGAATGCCGCGAAAAAATTGATAGTCAATAATTTCTCTTTATTGATACGAATATTAAATAATTTTCCACTCAGCAAAATTAATACACTTTAAAGAAAATTAAAAATTAAAAAAATATTGAAAATATTGAAAATGAAAAAATATTGAAGAGGAAAAAAATATCGAAAATGAACAAAATTTTGTATTAAGATTTAAACTAAAAAATATTTTGTAAAAATTCTTTAAATTTAGGCGAAATTGAAACATTTTTCGATTCTTGTTTCAGAATAAACAATGTTTTCTGTGAACAAAATAATTTCGCTCCAAAATCTTTTTTTATGAAAAGAAAAAATAATTTTAAACACAATTAAGAAAAAGAAATATGTATTTTTTAAGTCTATTATATATTTATGTTTATGTCAATT